GGGTCCGAGTAGACCTGGGATCAGCAGCAATTAAGAGGTGGTTTCATGCTCCTCAAAACATCCAATCTCCCGATCAGAGGCCCTGCTGCCGGATGTAGTTGATCGTCAAACCCAGGACTATGGTAGTATTAGGTGTTCAACTCCTATTATGAGGTGGTGCCATGTTCCTCAAAGCCTCCAATCTTCCGATCAGAGGCCTTGCTGCCGGATGTAGTTGATCGTCATACCTAGGACTTTAGTAGTATTGGGTGTTCAACAGCTATTAAAAGGTGGTTCCATGTTCCTCAAAACCTTCAATCTCTCGATCAGAAGGCTTGCTGCCGAATATAGTTTATCGTCATATCTAGGACTTATGGTTTCATCTAACTGGTTCAACAGTAAACCGATGGGACTTAGCTGCCAATCTAGTAGCACGTTTAAAATCATGCAGTCGAGGTAGCAAAGAAGAAAGATCTTCAGTAAAATTGCCATGAAAACATTTATAGGAGCAGCAAAAAGAAGCCTTGTCACAGCGGCGGGAAAATGACTAAAGTCGATGTTTCATGTCACGATCGATTACATTTCATAACCTTCTTTTGATTTTGTCTGAAGAATTTTATCAATCTAATATCTTATCAAATAATGGCAACACTTTAGCAAGATAGAAGCAATCTTTCCAATAATGTTGTATCATTATGTGGGAGGTACTTCTGGGAGGTATATGTGGGAGGATTTTCTGCTTCAGCCAGCATTAAGGACATTTGGGAAACTATTATTTTGATATGTTTAGTTGATGAAACAACGTCCGTTCTGTCATCAGAAAAATTGAATTTATTTCGGCCAAATATGCATTCAGTGACTTTTCTGTTTTCAAAAGTGTCTTATATATATATATATATATATATATATATATATATATATATATATATCCGATGAGAACGAAAGTAATATATAAATTCCAACGTTCACAGCATTAATCCAAAAGAGAGCTCGATACCAATAGTAGAGTGATAATTATTTATTTATTATAATTTTATCATATAGACAAAACCATTTTACTCACTACAAAGATGCAACTTCGTTTCAGTGCATTTCAACTGCATTTCGACGGGTGAGAATCAAAAATGGTTACCATTTTCGATTCGCACCCGGAGAAGACGCCGGAAGTTAAAAAAAAAAAAAAACTGTTGTGAAACTACACACAGGACAATTATTGGAAACGAATGTAGCAAAATTCGAACGTGAACGGGAAAATATATAAAAATAATTCATATAGCCTGACGTGCTTTTACCGATTTCGCCACAGAGGACCGTTTCGGTTAGCAAGGTCGATTTTACTGTTTTTAAACTAAAAATTAAAATCATGGAAAATTGTAGTATAAAAACATAAAAATAATTGTTAATATGAAGTTTTCCAAATTTACCGATAAAACAAAACAACTTATTCGGAAACCTAAAAGATGCAATAAAGACATAATTGATATACAGAACTTGTTCACCTTATCCAACAAAACATGTTTGAGAGAATTCATACTGAGACTGTATGTATGTATGAAACAGCAGGTGAATTTTGTTGTTACACCCGGTATATATATATATATATATATATATATATAATATGAGGTGCAGTTCAATTTATATTACATGAATCATTCATACAAAATGTAGATTAGTAAATTTTGTTTGCGAAGAGTTTTCGCTATTTTATATCATTAACTTTACTAATCTACTTTTTGTATGAATGATTCATTGTAATATAATTTGAACTGAGCTACATATTTGATTTAAAAAAACTGATCCGACGTGCAAATTTTCGGGATACCAACTGAGACATTATTCTATTTATTGAACAATTTAGTTCATGCCACATTGACTGATAAACTCCTACAACAACAAAAAAAATTCTCAAATTACCATATTAGTAAAAAACGCACTCTCTTAAATTTTCAAAAAAAATTCAACCTTAGCGTTGCGACTGCACGCTCCAAAAGTTTGTATCCGTTAACAATAACACATTTCTAAAAAAAAAAGACATATTTCGATTCGCATTTAATCTTTCGTCTCCGATACTAGCTGGATTTACTAAAAACAAATTAATTTCCATGCCTGAGGATGACTGTATGTACAGTTGAAAGTACTTGCAGATTGAATAAAAGACTTTATACAACTTGTAGTCAGTAAAAACAAGGATCATAACATTTATCAAGTGGTTCGTAGGTTAATGCAACTTTAAAAATTTTCTTTGCCACGAGTTTTTGCCATTTATATCATTAACTTTACTAATGTACTTTTTGTGTGTGTGTGTGTGTGTGTGTGAAAAATATATAGAAAATAGGAAAGAACTCGTTAAATAAATAATCCAAAGTTCTTTAGTATTTTTTTTATTATTTTTAAAAAAATAGTGCTCGATACAAAAGTAGAGCATAAATATAATTATTTATTTAAAAATATGATTCCAACACGCTACATAAGAGTTCTCATGTTTCAAAACAAGAGCCGAAAACTTCAATATAATTATTTGAATTAAATTGAATTAAAGTACTAAGCTCTGTTCCATCTTCAAGCGAATTTTTTTTGGAATCATAACATTAACAGGGATAATAGCACGTAAGTGAATTATATATATATATATATAATTCACTTACTACATATATATATATATATATATATATATATATATATATATAGCAGGTAAGTGAATTATATATATATATATAAATAAAAATATATATATATATATATATATATATATATATATATATAATTCACTTACCTGCTTTTGTCCCTGGTAAAGTTATGAATACACCTCTGCTCTCCCCAGATATGGATTAAATAGCAGGACAGTCTTGGGTGCCAACCAGTCTAGGAGAAGAACAACTTTGAATTCAAAGCAGACTATAAAAGTCTAGGCGTCGTCTGGTTACCTTGCCCAAGACGCACTACTGCTAATAAGGCTAATAAGTGGCGCCCCTATGATCCTAACAGGTTATAGGAATTTTTAAGAAAATGACCAGAGTTATGTATTTTGTGTTTTTGATTTCATGGCACCTTCTTGTTAATCCTTCTGATGCAACAAACTTGTTTTCTCATGATGTCTCAGGTTGTAACTTAGATCTTGGTCAAATGGTACTACAGAAACAATGCAATACACTAATAATAACTTAAAGTTTGACCTGGTGGAGCTCCTTCTTTTAATGTGTATTAATTAGAAGTATTAAGACGTACATATCTAATCTTAATGAATTAAGATGATGATATTAGTTTAATAAAGAATTCTTACTGTCATTATATGTATGTATGTATGTATATATGTAACAGCATTGGATCATTATCCACCCGACAAAATATTTTCCAGATATTCAGATACGACATTTAGTCATCTTAACACTATTTGTCGTACGAATCACTGAAAAAACTCTTTATTCAGCTAGAATGTGAACAGTTGAAAATCATTTTGTGTTAGCCCCACTATGTCTTTCCAACTGAGCAATGGTGAGAGGAAAAAGATCATTCAGGTTTTCAGTAATGGTACCAAATTCATATTCTAGCTTCCATCTTCAAGTTTAATTCAAGAACCATCAAGAGAACGGTGAATAAGTTCAAAAAAGAGGGAACAGTAGGAAATCTGGATCAGGTGGTCACAACAGCAGGAAGGATTATCATTTCAATTTAGAGCTAATGACATTGTCATTGCCTAAAGTCCAACAGTGTTATAAAAACCTCTGAGAATTCCAGTAAGATATCTTTAATCATTTCTAAGATACAATGGTTCAAAGATTAATCTTACTATTGGATAAATCTTTGTCACATGATTTGGACAATTTTGGTGTTACACCCGGTCATATATATATATATATATATATATATATATATATATATATATATATAGAGAGAGAGAGAGAGAGAGAGAGAGAGAGAGAGAGAGACAGAGAGAGAGAGATACAATTCCGTCAGATTCTCATTCAAACTTTAATCATCCAAACACATACAAACAATATTGTGCAGACTAAATCATATAGACAGAGATGTGGACAGTAAGAAAAAGAAGCGATGGAAATGCAGATTTCAATGGGTGATGCTGAGAGAATGTCTGTAATTAAATCTCAGCATTTGCAAAATTTTTTGCAAGATACTGAATTCTTCGACTTTGCTAAAAAAAATTAACAAAACTTAAACAAAAACGAACATTGAGGTTTTTTTACGAATGCAAAGAAAAATGATCTAAGAAAGAAAAGAATCGCTATGCTTATTACTTCTTGGCGTTAAAAAAAAAAAAAAAAATGACGACTTTGTCTTTACAACGCAAAAGGGTGTATTTCTGTTAGGAGATTAAGAAGCGGATAAAAGTCTCCCGAGAAGCGCCTTGCTGGCTCTCGAAGAGGAAAACGAATATTTATAGGAATGGTCTCCGTTTTCTGCGCAGAAAATCCTTATCTCAAAACACCTGGCAGAATTGTTTCTTTTTTCTTTTCTTTTTTCTTAATGAATGATGAGTCTGCATTCTTGACTTTCATTAATTTTACTAATTTAATTATAATCCAATCGATTGGTCGGAAATATCCGAGTTGATAGAGACGAGACAGGTTTCGCTTGTGCGCAGAACTATCTATTTCCCACATACGACTGCGCATGAAAGCACGTCCAACATATAATGATATAGATCCATTACTCTCTCCTGTTTTTTTACACACATATATATATATATACAAGCCAAGCTCTGACTTACGCTCTTTTTCTCTCTCTCTCTGGCTCTCTCTCTCTCTCTCTCGCTCTCTCTCTCTCTCTTTCGAATATACATACACTCAGCGACTTTCTTTCACACGTATATACATAAATCCCACATTCTGTCTCACATACATACAATTCTTCAACTTTTATATTGTCACATTTTACTATGCAAGGTGATGTTTTCACAGTGTAATTGGCATTAACTAACCAAAGTTTTTACAAGTCTCAGAATACACGCATGTGTGCATTATATCACGTGTTTCAATTCATAATATCCATACTTATTTAAGGATTACGGCCATATCACTTTGAAACACCGGGCCCCTTAAGATCACTAAAGTTAAGCAACGTCTTGCCTGGTCAGGAACTAGATAGGTGACCGCTTGGGAATAACAGGTGTTGTTAGCTTGGATGTGCGCGCAGTATGACTTATGGCCATAACACATTGAAGCATCGGTTCTCGTAAGATCACCAAAGTTAGGCAACGTCTTGCCTGGTCAGTACCTAGATAGGTGACCGCTTGGGAATAACAGGTGTTGTAAGCTTGGATGTGCGCGCGGTATGACTTAGGGCCATAGCACATTGAAGGACCGGTTCTCGTAAGATTACCAAAGTTAAGCAACGTCTTGCCTGGTCAGTAACTATATAGGTGACCGCTTGGGAATAACAGGTGTTGTAAGCTTGGATGTACGTTAAGCTACGTCGTATCTTGTTATTACCTAAATGATTGATCTCTTGAGAATACCAGATGATGTAAGCTTGGATGTGCGCGGTATGACTTACGGCCACATCGCTGTTAAACAATGGGTAACCACTTGGGAATATCAGGTGCTTTAAGCTTGGATGTGCGTGTGGCGTAATGGATAATGGCTCGGCATTTTCAATCCGAAAACTGAGTTTCAATTTCAGTTGTGTTCGTCATAAACACTTACGCGCAAATAGCCTTGGGAAAAGTACGAATCAATCTCTTCTCCCCCAGCTATGGATTAATTAGTAAGACTTGCATCACTAAACCATTATTATCGAAAAAAAAATATTACACCTTGAAAATATTTTCTGGCTTTAAATAATTTGCAAAGGGTTGATAAACCGTAGAAAATGAATCATTCATTCTATATAGGCATGTCTTTGAATTTTTTTTACATTCTCTGAAATACAAATCTATAAAATCTACAGTGACCGGAAAGTGAGGGATCAGTTTTTTATATTGATTGTAATATAAATTTGACCCCCCCACTTTATAGCTAAATAATAATTTCTTGTTTGTTTATCAAATTCTGATTGGGTATGAATCAATATCTTCTCCCCAAGTAGGGATTAATTAGTAAGATTATTATCGCTAAAACATTTTTACAATTTAAAAATATTTTGTGGCTTGAAATTATCTGCAAGGGGTAAAATAAGCCGTATAAAACAAATCAATTAATCAATGTGTACTGATTCCGATATTGATGATATTTTAGTTTATGATACAGTTTGTTTTTTTGTTTTTTTACGGAATTTTGTATTTATAAATAAGTACAAAAGATTAGATCCCTATAAGAAAAAAAAAACAGTCAGATAACATTGAGCCACAGGTTCACAACTAATCACCGAAGTTGAACCTGATCAATATCTGATGGGTGGCCGCTTGATCAGTATCTGGTGGGTGGCCGCTTTTGTGCGGATGGTGTATTGATATCGTCTCGGAATAAGAAATCGGAGAGCTGAGTTCGAATTCCAGTCGAGCTCGTTGCATTCACTTACACGCAAATACCCTGAGGAAAGTTATGACACCGTCCCCTCTCTCGCAGCCCATGGGTTAAATAGCAGGACAAACTGGCTATATATGTTTTCCGATTAACAATTGCTAGTCATTATCCATTACACCCCACGCACACCCAAGCTTACAGCACCTGTTTTTTTTCCCAGCGGTCACCTATCTAGGTAAAGACAAAGCTCAATGTTGCTTAACTTCGTATCGCAACCGATGATTTTTTGTGGAGGTAACCCAGACAGTTCTTTAAATGGAATTTTCTTTTCGTAGAGTTGCATCTATTTTTTCCCAGGGTGAAGTTTCTTCTAGTCAAACACTTTTGACTTAAAAAAATAATTCTTTGCACAAATCATCACGCAAAGAAAGAAAACAATGAGATAAGATTTTAACAGTAGGCAATTTTTTTCGGTTGTAACCTGCTTGCGAGCGAGTTACTGTATTATAGAGACATTCGTTTTGAAATATATATATATATATATATATATATATATATATATATATAAAGACATTTTATGTAATATTCTTTTATAGATGGATTTATGGTATTATCATTCAACGCACACAAGGCCAACCTTACAGACAGTTTTTTTTCCCAACGGTCACCTATCTAGGAAAGACAAAGCCAATTTCTTAACTTCGTATCACGTACTGAAACCGGATTGATTCAATGTGATCTTTGGACAAAAATAAAACCCAGATCAGTTTTAAAAACCCTGGGTGAATTTTTTCGTAGAGCTCAAATACTACCACTTTGACACCGGGTTTTTTTCCTAGATGAAGTTTTCTTAAAAAATAATTCTTTTGCACAAATCATCTCCCGCCAAAGAAACGAAAACAATGAGATAAGATTTTAACAGTAGCAATTTTTTCGGTTGTAACCTGCTTGAACGAAACCCCCACCCCTTCGAGCGCAAGCAGACATTCTCCTTTGTTTTATAATATATATAGCCAGGCCGAGCGGGTATTCTATTTTTAGATATTCTTTTACAGGATTGAAATATTTTATATATATATATATATATATATATATATATATATATATATATATATATATATATATATATATATATATATATTTTTATATATACAGCACAGATTACATATTTTTATTCACATAAACAAACCCTTTTTTATTAACATTTTATTTTATAAATATTCTTTTTATAGAGATAAACTTTTATCCTATTTTTTTTTGATACAAGTAAAATGCTCTGTTTATAATAAACAGTATTAAATAACATTTACCGGCCTGAATGTCCGAGAAATTTTCATAGAAAATATTCGTCCTTTGACAGGATTCGAACCTGCATCCTATATGGAACCGTCATTTAACTTGTCGTGCCTAACCTCTCAAAATGGAAATGGACAAAGTCCGACAATTTATTAAAGACATTTTTATGTTTAACATTCTTTTTAAAGATACAAGTATTTTAGTAAATGCTCTGTTTATAATAAACAGTATTAAATAATGTATGACGTCATTTGTTTACATTTCATACGCCATGAGCAGTTATGAATGTACGAGATTCATGGAAGATTGAATTTTATAAGCAGTAAATTCGACCTCGCCAACCGAACGATCCTTTGTGGCCGATAGGTTAGGCACGTCAAGCTAAATGACTGTTCCGTATAGGATGCAGGTTCGAATCCTGTCAAAGGACGAATATTTTACATGAAAATTTCTTGGTAAATGTTATTTAATAGTTTTTATTATAAAGAGAGCATTTACTAAAATACTTGTATCTATAAAAAGAATGTTAAACATAAAAATGTCTTTAATAAATTGTCGGACTTTGTCCATTTCTTAATGTATATATATATAATTATTTATTTATCTAAAAATATGATTCCATCGCTACATAAGAGTTCTCATGTTTTAAAACATGAGGCGAAAACTTCAATATAATTATTTGAATTAAATTGAATTAAAGTACCAAGCTCTGTTCCATCTTCAAGCAAAATTTTTGGAATAACTAATTGTTGAAATTTACGCGTTTTTATAAGCATATTCATTATTAAAATTAAAATTACTATGGTAACGGCTAGAGCAATTACTTAAAAAAAGGGGCGTAAGGGTAATTTATATCAATATCTCAGTTACATTTAAGGAGGTCAAGTCAGGGTAATGTTGGGGTGTCTAAATATATATGGGACCATTATTGATCTGACGTGCTATACTACTCAGCTAGATAGAAGCGTCTGGTTAGCAAAGACCAAATTACTGTTTATAAACAACAATTCTTTGACGATCTTTCTAGAACGATCATATCTGCCAACGAAACATACCTTAACGTAAACATTTAACCGTTGCTACAGTGTAAGGGTGGGACCGAGATGCTAGCCTAGTAGCACGTTTAAATTCATGCAGTCTGGGAACTAGCGAAAGTAGCTTGTCGGAGCAGTTGGCGTGAAAGTATTTGTAGAAAAGACAGAGGGAGGCGACGGCACGTCTGTTAGTGTGCGATTGTAGACAAGATGCCAGATCAAGACCAGTCATATTGCACATAAGTCTCTGATTTTTTTGTCGAGGACCTTAAGACATACAGCAGTGGCTCCAGATCATATGTGGCAGCAATATTCCATGCAAGGGCGAATGGTTGATTTACAGATTTAAAGGATGGACTCGAGGGAGAAAAACTTTCTGGTGCGACACAGAGAACCAACTTTCCTTGCGGTAGATGAAGCTATTGATTCAATGTAGTTGTCGATCTCAGGTCAGCGGACAGTGTGAGACCAAGCAGTCGCAGAACGGTGCTATAGACATTATTTGTTACAGTTCTATGGTTTCGATTCTCGAGCTTCGAAGAAGGATGGTCCTAGCTTAGACCTACAAGCTTCATTCGCTCGAAGCATTTTTAATTATTTATCTGAGAAAGCGGTTACATACAGATGACACATTAGATATTTCTTAATGAGCATGACGTATATATGAAAGTCTTTAAGTCTGAACAAGGTGCCAAGAACGGTAATAGCTTGTTCAAACGTTTTAGTTTTTCAATTACGTAACACTGTCAATAGATCTTGTCTGAAGAAAGTCCCGGTGGCTGTGTTGAGGTTCTAAATAATTCACTTTGCTGAAATATTTAATAAGTTCAGCAAGGTAGAAAACGACTTTGCTTAAAATGTCGAATGCAGAATCAGTGTCTTAAATGTTATGTGGAATAAAATCTGAAATTGTTATATTTTTCTCTTTTATGCTGTAGTTCGTTTTTGGCCAGAATAAATAGCCTTGCTCGGCTATAGAAATCTATAGACAGCTACATTTCACAACATACTTGATGCATTTCTAATGAAAGAATTCACATTGAAAGAAAACAGCCGTTTGCAGGTCTGCAACGCAAGGTTTTCTTTTTCTCTATTTGCGTCTGTAAAGGGGGGGAGGTTTGACGCCGGTCAGACCCAATTTGTTATTGAAAAGAAGCGGCCGATTTGAACCATTTACCTGAATAATTTGCAGACATTTGCAACCCCGCATTTTTATTGATACAAAAGCCTGCTTAAAGCGAGAGACGCTAAACGCTTTTTAGTACTAAGAAATAATTGGTGAAAGCAGCGGTTCTCAACCTTTTTTTTACCCATGAACCACTTTTCCTTTCCTTTTATTCTTGGTGGACACTTTAATAGCTATTTGATATAAGACAACAATATTCTATTTATCATTAATAAAAATTTTGAGGTTTTAATAATCAAAGAAATATTATATAATTAATCTTTATTTTTAAACGAAAACTAATTTAATGCACATAAATTATTCCACAATAATAATAATAATAATAATAATAACAGT